TTTATCTTTCATTTTCTTTCTTTTTATTTTTTTTGAGACAGAGTTTCGCTCCATCACCAGGTGCCAGGCTGGAGTGCAGTGGCCCAATCTCTGCTCACTGCAACCTTCGCCTCCCGGGTTTGAGCAATTCCTCTGCCTGAGCCTCCTGAGTAGCTGGGATGAGCCACCACACCCAGCTAATTTTTGTGTTTTTAGTAGAGATAGGTTTCACCATGTTGGCCAGGATGGTCTCGATTTCTTGACCTCGTGATCCACCTGCCTCAGCCTCCCAAAGTGCTGGGATTACAGGCGTGAGCCACTGCGCCCGGCCTATCTTTCATTTTCAACTATCAACTTCAATTATCCTGGTGATAATTGAAGGTAAATATATCATATTCTTAGTTGGTAGAAACTTAGTACCTATGGCTAAAAAAGAAAAAATAATAAAAACACCATTATAAAATATAATAAAACACAAATAATTTTTAATGTCGTATAAAAGAATTCCATGACATTTTATGTTGAAAACAGTAGAATTTAGCAAACACCAGGACATTACAAGAAACACTGTAACAATTTTCATCTAGCATTTATTCTGAACACTCAGTGTTATCATAAATAAATAAATCTTTGGACAATGGAGCTTTACAAATGCTGTGTTTGTAATAACATCTTTTGGAGATAGCTGATATCTCCATTACTGGACATGGAGAATATGTTAAAAATAATCAGTAAAAGAGTACATAGATAAATGTTTTCTTGAGAAAAACCTTATAGAAAACAGGTAGTTTGGGTTTTCCTGAACTCACAATATGAGACCCACTTCCGAAACCCTGCCTGAATGGAGCACGCAGGATGCTAAGTGATATGAGTTCATGACCAGCTGGTTTCTTTGTCGGCCATGTCCACCAGGCAGTACGTCCAGGCTGATATTGTTTCTCACATCAGTTTCTGGGAACTCAGAATGGCCATTGACTCTGAGCACACAGCAGCCCTGCAGTGGCTCTGAAATGACAATCAGGTTCCAGAGCTGCTTGTTGTGGTCTGCCAAGGATCTACTGATCTGAGGACAGCTCTG